AGCCAGAAGTGGCGCTGTGGCTCAAGTGGTAGAGCGCTAGCCTTGAGCTGAAGAGCTGAGGGACAGCGCCCAGGCCCAGAGTTCAGGCCCCAAGACCGGACCCCCCCCAAAAAAAAAGATCTTTGGAGGAATAAACTGCCTTTTGTAAACTTTCCTTCAAGACTAAATCAAACATAACAGCTTTTAGGTTTATCTGGAAACAGATAACATACACATTTGTTAAACATGTCTTACCTCCACTGCTGTTTTATATGTTTGCAGCTTTACAGCCAATGGCTCCCAAATGCCCAATTCCTTCATGTCCACCAATGTACCTGTCTCACCATTTACACCCCAGGTCTCACAGTTCTCCTGTGTATGTTTAGCCTACATTTAAAACAAAGTAAGGGGAAAATATCAGCAACAAGTTGGCAGAGAGCATTAGGTACAAAACTGAGCAATAAGGAAAAATGTTACAAAGGACAGTAAAAATCAAAGAAGGCATATTTGAATAAATTGTAAAAACAAGTTGGACATATAAAACTATCTCCTCAGGAAATTTTCCTTAACTCACTAATAAAAGAGAGAACTCACCCGAAGGGAGGTAAGTAGACGAATGGTACTGGCTCCACAGTTCTGGATCAGGGTACGAGGAATGACCTCCAAAGCCTGGGCAACAGCCCTGTATGGCCACTGTTCCACACCAGTCATGGCCTTGGATTTTTCTGTTAAGGCATGGGCCACGGCCATCTCAGAGGCTCCACCTCCAGGTACCAGTTGAGGGTCAAGGAGAACATTGCGGCACACTTGCATGGCATCCTGGAGGTTTCGTTCCACTTCCTTGGAGAAGCAGATAGTAATGATCACTTGTCAAGCCAGCCTGATGACTCAGAGAAAACAAGGATTTCCTGACTGCCAATGTTAGTAAGCCACATCAGAGAAAATATCCTTGAAACTTCAGTAACTGAGATGTTACAGGGAACAATATGTAACTCACAATTGTAAGGGACCAGGGTACATTGTCTGGAAGAGGATAGCTGATGTGCACCTAAACCATGATGTTAGGTGTTTATTGTATTAAACATGATTTCATTCCTACTTATCTGTGACCTTTAGAAAATTACATGATGTAGTCTCAATTGTTTTACTATTTACTAGCTAAAATTTATTAGCTAAAATCTCTTTTAAAGTTGATGTACCAAAGCTAGGGACTAGAGGTATCCTTCTAGTGGTTAGAATGCCAGCTGAATATGCAAACTGAGCAAGTGTGAGTCCAAAGTTTAAATCCCAGTATTAGCTTCCAGTTACTAAAATCAATGCAGGATGATTTTAGATCCTTTAAGAACTCTCAAAAAAGGGCTGGGAATATGGCTTGGCAGTAGAGTGCTTATATAACATGAATCAAGTCCTGGGTTTGATTCCTCCACATAAACAGAAAAAGCCAGAAGGATCATGCTTCAAAGCTAGCCCAGGAAAGAAAGTCCATGAGACTCTTATTACCAATAAACCACCAGCAAACCAGAAGTGGTGCTGGGGCTCAAGTGGTAGAGCACTTGTCTTGAGCTGAAGAGCTCAGGGACAGAGTTCAAGCCCCACAAATGAAAAAACAAAACAAAACAAAAACCCCACTCTTTTAAGGCTGACTCACCGAGAGAATATCTTTGCTGGCACCCCTGAGGAGAATGGTGCAGGCTTTGGGGTCTTTGCACTCCGTGATGAATGTGAAGTACTCATCTCCAATTTTCTTAATTTCTAACAAGCCTGCTCCTGTTCCAACATCATCTTCTCTCAGTTCTTCAGGTCGGCTGACTATCCGGGCCCCACAGGCTCTATTGGGTGGAGGAGGTAGGGAAAACCAGATGACTGCAAAAATACTTTTTTACCCACTTCCCTAGGATAGTGTGTGGCTGGGAATTAATTAGTCATCCCCAAATGCCCAAATGGGCCTCAAGGCCAATAAAGGCATTAAAAAAAAAAAAAGATACCAAGGCCAAGCAAGCAAGAGCTGAATAAGGAAATACATATTTGACTCCATTTTTTTCCCCCTTTGGGTGCCAGGGTTTGAATTCAGAGGCTGGTTGCTGTCCCTAAGTTTTTTTGCTCAAGGATAGCAGTACTCTATCACTTAAACTCCACTTCTAGTGGTTAATTGGAAGTAAAGAGTTTCACAAACTTTCCTGCCCTGGATGGCTTTGAACAACAATCTTCAGATCTTAGCTTCCTGAGTAGCAAGGAGTCACTTATACCTGGCTCTCTAACTTTTAGCTGGTTGTTGACCATGCACCCCATCCTTTTGGCCTGTCCCAATACAGTACTAAATGTTACAGAGCCAATGAACAATGGAGCGACCAAAATTGAGTCAAAACAAAACCTTTTCAAAGTTGGACCTTTAACACAGTAGGATATTTATCATTTTAAATAAATTAGCATTAAAAATGGACACTGAGCTGGGTGCTGGTGGCTCAAGCCTATAATCCTAGCTACTAAGGAGGCTGAAATCTGAGGATTGTTGTTCAAAGCCAAGGCTGGCAGGAAAGTCCATGAGACTCTTTCTTTTTCTTGCTGGTCGTGGGGCCTGGTGCTGTCCCTCAGCTCTTCAGCTCAAGGCTAGCACTCTACCAACACCACTTCCGGCTTTTTCTGCTGTGGTGCTTAGAAATTGAACCCAGGGCCTCATACGTGCAAGGCAAGCACTCTACCACTGAGCCACCTTCCCAGCTCCTCCATGAGACTCTTATCTCCAATAAACCACTAGAAAACTGAAAGTGGCACTGTGGCATATGTGGTAGAGTGCCAGCCTTGAGCTGAAGAGCTGAGGGACAGTGCCCAACCCAAGTTCAACCCCCATGACCAAAAAAAGAACAGTAATCTTTAACAAGTGGCATTTAGAAATGTAATAGACACCTACCAAGGTAGTGATTACAGATGTCTTACGTACTAGCTGCTCACTAATGGTTAAGGGGTGATAGTTGGACTAGAAAGCTTCTAAAGAGGGCAGACAGCTATACTTAGGTTTTTCTATGTGTTAGTATACACTATTGTTTTTTCAAGTAAAAACTGTATTATATAGCTACAAAAAAAAAAAAAAAAAGAAACAAAGGGTAACTGTTGACTACTACTCACCTAGCAATGCGATTATTGTCTGTTTTCCGGACTCTACGGATGGCTGTGATATTGGCCCGCATGAGGTAGTGCTGTGCTAAATCTGAAATTCAAGAATAGAGATGTCAAGCTGGACGTCAACTCCTGGGTTTTGAACTCAAAGTGCTTTCAATATTACACTTATTAGGTTTATGTGAACATGAATGAGGAACAGAAGCATCCATTCTCTTCCAATAGGCTAAAAAAATGAATGGAGCCTAACCTGAGATACCCTTTTCTGTGATGACCACATCAGGCTTCATTTGGATAATGTCATCACAGAGCTGTTGAATGTACTCTTCTTCCATCTGAAGGATTCGGGTGAAGTCTTCCTCTCGGGTAATCTCAATGTCAGTCTATATGATGAAGAGGAGGCACAGATTTTTAAAAAAACAATAGGTTGGGCTGAGGCACAGTGGTTCAAGCTTGTCATCATAGCAAAGATCAGTAGAATCATGGTATAAGGCCGATGTAAGCAAGTTGAAAGCCCAGTTCAATCAATAAAAGTTGCAGTAGGTGTAACTCAGATATCTTAAAATCTGAGATACTTAAGAGGTTAAGATTGGGAAAATCATGGTTCCAGGCCAGCCCAAACAGAAAAGTTTGCAAGACTGTATCTCAACCAAAAAGCTGGGCATGGAGGAGGTATGTGCCTACCATCCAATTAATGGGAAGAATCACAGTATAGGCCCACTAGGACATAAGCATGAGATAATTTATAAGGCTGGATAGAGCAGCAACCTAAGGCTCTGAGGTCAAACCTCAGTACTGAGGGGGAAAAAAAAAAAAAAAAAAAAAAGGCCTGGGCTGGTGAAACTTAAGTGTGAGCCCAACTATGCTTTCTCTACATACTCCTCACAGATCCCTTAAAATATGAGTTCGAATGTTAAATTATGTCCCTACATCTGTAAGCCAATTTAACTCTAGTTTACCATTCAGTTTGACTATTTAATTTCAGTTTGACTCCTCTGAGCTGTCTGACCATCAAGGTTCAATCAATGCTACCTATATTCTGCCAGTATGCATGGTTAATACAAGTCGCAACTATTCACAATAATTAAGCTGATTCTTGTTTTCAATCCTTATTAAGATCCAGTGGCTTTGTTCTACAGCTTTGTAGGTTTCCTGCTCTCTGTAAATTCGCCTTTAGTACTTCAAAGCTAAATTAACTTCTCTTTTATGTCCTTTAGATGTATTAGGAAAGGTTCTGTGAAAAGTATAAAATGGAAAACAGCTAGGAGACAGTGGCTTATGCCTTTAATTCTAGCTACTCAGGAGGCTGAGATCTGAGGATCACAGTTTAAAGCCAACCCAGGCAGAAAAGTCCCCTTGACACTTATCTCCAATTAACCACTCAAAAACCGGAAGTGGTGCTAGGGCTCAAGTGGTACAGGGCCCAGGGCCTAAGTTAAGTCCACAACCCACAATAAACAAATTTAAATGAAAATGAAAGCCAAACAAGTTGGTTTAAGTCTTGATTTGGGCTGGTTTCTTTTTTTTTTGTTGGTCATGGGGCTCGAACTCTGGGCCTGGGCGCTGTCCCTCAGCTCTTCAGCTCAAGGCAAGCGCTCTACCACTTGAGCTACAGCGCCACTTCCGGTTTTCTGGTGGTTTATT